TACTACCTTGCAAGAATTTTATGAAGACGCATTTAATAAAGTTTGTCAGTTTGTATTATTCTTTTCTTATAGTGTGACTTTTACTAGTATATGTTCTACTTAAATGTTCTGTTTCATATATATGTGCATATTTTACATGATTTTATGTAGTTTTAATATCAGTTATAGCTTGTGATACACATGCTATGTCAACAAAAACTTTTGGTTTTCAGTACAATAAAGACTTTCTTCTTCTTCTTCTTCTTGTGATTTGATGGAAAAATACGGACCAGAAATGCTCGGTAAGCAAGGATTTTCGAGAAAATTCAAGAATAAAACAACCCCTCTGAAGGGGTGGATCGGAATTATTTTACTGGTGGCATCTATATTTTCATATTGAATATGCAATTTGAAGACAAAGTTCAAAACAGAAATGCATGGTCAGCATAATTCAATAATTTTGATCAGCAAATTATATATTCCCCGTAGAAAGCCATTTCAGTTATGTGAGTAATAAAAATAATAGAAACAAAATAATACGATATTGTGTATACTGATTTCAGCAAAGCCTTCGACAAAGTTTCTCACAAACAACTTTTACAAAAATTGGGTAACTTCGGTATACCCCCTAATATCCAATTACTATTGAAATCGTACCTCAGTGATAGGAATTTATTCGTCGACTATGAAGGTGTACAATCCGTCAACTTCATAGCTCATTCAGGAGTACCTCAAGGATCGAATCTGGGGCCTCTTCTATTCCTCTTATTTATAAATGATATATGCATTTCAATTAAATCAAGCAAACTCCTTTTTGCAGATGACATGAAAATTTTCACAGAAATTACAGATATTGCAGATTGTTTGCGTCTGCAAAACGATCTGAATCTTCTTTTCAAATGGTGTTCTGAAAATAATTTACCAATGAATATTGAGAAATGCAAAATTATGAGCTATTCTAGAAAAGTCTCTACATTTTTATTTGAATATTTCATCGAAGATGGTAAACTACGCAGGGTAAACGAATGTACAGATCTGGGAGTTATATTTGACAGCAAATTAAAATTCAATTTACATATTGAAAAAATCAAATCCAATGCCAATAGGGCTCTAGGTTTCCTCATACGTAATTGTAAAGAATTTACGAATCTTAGAGCTCTTTGTTCTATTTACTACTGCATTGTACGTAGCAAGCTCGAATACTGCAGTGCGGTATGGAACCCAAGCCAAGTCAAACACATACAAGCATTGGAAACAGTACAAAAAAAATTCTCAAATTTTAGTTTTTCAAAAAATATAATATTTATCCTGAACGTCACTGCGATTACGATTTGCTACTAGAAGAATTTGCATTCGTTAGCTTGAAAAAACGACGTGAAATAGCAGACATGATATTTGCATATAAATTAATAAATAATCAAATAGATTCGGCGTCCCTTTTATCCACACTGAGTTTCAACATACCCCGTATCTCTTCAAGATCAAACCTGACTTTCCGAATCGATGTTCCAAATTCACAACATCACCTCAATAGTCCTATCACATCTATGTGTAGAAGCCTCAATAATGTGCCGTCTGTTGATATATTTTTTTCAAATTTAACCCAGTTCAGAAAGCAATTGTACACTCTTATTCCGAACTAGTTATATATTTTCATTTGTTCACCTACATTGGTTCATTGTCATTATTATTCTTATTATAACTATTATTATTATATACTCCTGTAATTGGGCTCCGGCCTGTTGGATGTATTATGTATAAATAAATAAATAAATAAATACGGAAGAAGTTCGCATTCTGTATGGTGAAAAAAATTTAAATTCAGAATTATTTCCATATTCGAATGAAATAAATGTCAATGGTCAATGGTCTTGACAATGTCCATGAGGAATTTATGCATTCCATCTCTGAATACACTTCACTTCTGACGGCGAAAAAGTTCTTTGCCGTTCGCCGCTCTCAAAGACGTTTTCTCCGCACATCAAATTCCGGGGAAAAAATCCAATAAGGTCCTCCGGCATGCCAACACACGGCCGAGTTAGAATGACGTTCGTTGGCCGCCGTATTGTGGGAATGTATTCCAAATAAAATTTATCGACTTGAAAGAGAATAAAAAATGTATTCTGGCCGTAGAAGGATTCAGAGGAGAACGACAAATATTAAGTTGAATGGCAGCTTCGTTGGGGAATTTCAGAGCGATATATTTTCATTCAATGAGGATACTTACTCTCAGCCGCATCCCAGAGTGGGGTTTCAGGGTTCTGATAACTCGCCGGTGGTAACAAAGAAAAATTGTAAAAACTTCACGAACAATAAGATTTCCACAAAATCCTCAAACACACGACATGTTTCGCTAACACAGTAGCTTCGTCAGGTGATATACTGGTACAATGAACTAAACTAACGTTGGCTTGCTTGACTTTTATATATCCTGCTTTCCCAACCTGAAGGATTAGTTACCTGTGAACAGGTACGATAAACCTCCATTTTCGGAAATTAGGCACAATCTCTACATTTAAATACGGTATACCGGATTAACTTGAAAGAGTTGATAGCAAATACATATTATTACTTACTAAGAAAACAAATTCAACAGTGGTGAACTATCGAGGTCTCATTGATCATTAAGTAGAATGTCAAAATTTTTCAGTTTTTTGATTTCTAAACTTGCAGCGGATAATACATAAACATTCATTGATAAAACAATGTTTGTATTGGTATTGATACGTAGATGACGTTATTGTATGCTTTAAAGGAACCAATAGATGATTAGACACTTTCCTTCAATATACAGTGTGTCCCACTTACCATGCTCAACATGGGTATCTTTTTAACAGTGAGAGATACGAGGTCGGTTAAATGACACCAAATGTGGAGTTTGTCAAGGCCAACTATAATGAGAAAAAATATTTTGATAAAATCTATTCGTTTTTGTTTTATACGCAAAAAACAGATTTTGATCATTTTCATGTCTCCTCCGTAACTTCTTTATTTATGAAAATATTCAAATAGGAACTTCACATTCTCATGGTAGTTTTTCAAAGTGATTTCGAAAAAAATATGAAATTTGAGATATCAGCACCAACTTTAGTTTTTCAAATGTAGGTCATAGCTCACTATGCCTTAGTTACAATTAAGCCAGACATTTTTTTAATTTCAGCGAAAATTCCATAACTACGATCAACTTGAAATTTGGCAGGTGTTCATAATTTTGGTGATAATTCATTATGGAATTTTTGTTGAAATTAAAAAAAAAATGGCTGCTCCAAGATGGCGGACAAGATTTGATCCGATTCCATTCAAAATTTGTAAGTGGGGGTCTTTAAGGTCGGAGATCATGATTTTTTTTAAATTCATGAATTCAAGATGGCGGCTTCCAAATATTTGTTTTTGTATAAATGACGATAACTCCGTTGTTATCAACACAAAACTATTACTGCGACATATCATCTGTGAGAGAAAAAAAAGTTATTTGTAACTAAGTCATAGTGAGCTATGACCTACATTTGAAAAACTAAAGTTGGTGCTGATATCTCAAATTCCAGAAGAGTTGGTATAAATTTCATATTTTTTTCGAAATCATCTTGAAAAACTGCCATGAGAATGTGAAATACCTATTTGAATATTTTCATGAATAAAGAAGTTACGGAGGAAACATGAAAATGATCAGAATCTGTTTTTTGCGTACAAAACAAAAACGAATAGATTTTATCAAAATATTTTTTCACATTATAGTTGGCCTTGACAAACTCCACATTTGGTGTCATTTAACCGACTTCGTATCTCTCACCGTTAAAAAGATACCCATGGTGAGCATGGTAAGTGGGACACACTGTATAAATACTATTCTTTGTACCTTGTTTTCATGGGACGCCTGGTTTGGCCTATATTTGTTTTATCACAATCATAATAACTAATTCCGTATATTCCTGACTTTTCAAGAGTGTCCACCTTATCTTATGAATTACCTGATAAATTTACTTTCACCTTTATATTCATCACTATTTTCAATTTTCCTTACCTGTCAGTTAGTTAACTAGTGGATGGCAATTTGAAGATTAACCAACCTGAGACTATATCTACAAGCTACTATCATCTGTCGGATAACTAACTAGCGGATAAAATCGGCCATTTTCTAAATTTATTTGTTGTGGAATATCCACGATATCTATGTCCCCATCCTCGTCACTATGGAACATCTGAATCTCCACAATTCCAGTCAGATTTGGGTATAATTGAATCCCATTGCTCGGTAAAAACCATGTAGAGACAACAACAACAACAACAACTGCAGTCTTCTATTATCTGACTGATGAATAACTAGCAGTTGAAATCGGCAATAGACAAAATGGCCCTCACTCATGTCTAGTCCGACAAATCTATTTAATAAGTCTCGATACTTTGATATCTCATGAGCTGCCCATAAACTATGGCAACGATTGAAAGTATACTAGACTGATTCTTTCCTCTGTTCTACTCAGATGGCGTTACTTTCATTTTGCCGATGAAAGACGCCTCGGGGTGAATATAATGCCGACTTGACTTTTGTTTAGCTAGGCTTCGCTGAGTCGACGGTCTTAGGACTGCTGGCTGGAGACTACACTGCTCTGATGAGAGTCAAAGAGCTCGAAACCGGTCTGTGGTTGTCTAGCGGCCTGGCTAAATCGAAATCAATAGGCATTCAGGACAGAATCACTTGTATCAGTATTCGTTTATACGAGTCGATGCATAGATTTCGGTAGGATGTAATTCAATGTCCTGCGTGGCATTAGCCAGGGAAGTAGTTGTTTTTTTCCCGAAATCTACCATTGTTGTTCATTTTGTGAACATTGTGTGGAAATGACTTTGAGCATTTTGTATTTATTCACCATTTCATCCCACTTTGAGCATTGTGGCTATTGCGTAGTTGTATACTAGACAGTCTGTATTTCATTTAAAAAAAAATGTTAAACTTGAATTGGAAAAATAAAGTTGTTCCATATACCAGACAATGATTCTCCATCTTTCTTCCAGATAAATTTATGGCGCTAGCAAACGTCACTCCCCGCGCGAGCGTGTCCATGGAGGAAATGCTCTTCCTTGTGGACAACATCACCAACGGGTCTTCCGCTAACACCACCGTAGCTCTCCAGCCCTATCCCAGCGGCTACACCCTGCCTCAGATAGTGGTGGCCTCCACAGTCGTCACTCTCCTCATGATAGCCGTCGTGGTGGGCAATATGCTGGTGATCATCGCCATCACCACGGAGAAGGCGCTGAAGAACATTCAGAACTGGTTCATCGCCTCTCTGGCGGTGGCGGACTTCTTCCTCGGGCTGGTCATCATGCCTTTTTCGCTGGCGAACGAGCTGATGGGATATTGGATCTTCGGGGCTTGGTGGTGAGTGACTTGCTTTATACAGATTGTTTCCTTAACCACCATAAACTACCGACTCGACTTCTATCCGCTTGCTCGACAACCACTGGGTTCTATTAGTTGATGCCTGCCGGTGCCTTCGAAATCGCTATCTAATAACTTGTCAACTGACCGTGGAAAATTTGGCGATCTGACTCTATTTTATAGATATTTTCATCGACGATGCTCTTTTGAGATATCAATAGTTGTTCCTCCTTCGACAGACCCCGCGAGACTAACCCGTCGAGTTGAGGCTTCGCACCTCTTCGTTGTCACTTTGGAGACCTGCAGAACATCTCTTTTCAAATACTCGTTCATCCAATGAACAGCCAGGCTCTGAAATACATTACCAGGGGAGGTGTTCTCCAAGGCATATAACCTCCAGAAATTCAGAAAAAAACACGAATTCCTACCTTATTTCCCTTGTTTATCACGATGTTCTCTAAACATTACAGGATATCCCTTTTCCTGGGAACCAGAACATGAAGAAAACGTTTGGCGGTGCATTGATTCATGGAAGAGTGAGTAACGCAATGTTGGGTCATACCGAAAAATAGGTCCCAGCGTGAAAGTCATCTTCTAGAATTCAGTTATCCTTGGTTACACATAGGGCATGTGGATGGCAACATAGCCAGTGTTGCTAGGTCGAGAATGAGATAAGCGACAGGCGAGACATTAAAGAGAGGTAGATTTGATGATGAAACTGTAGATTAACTTTGAAAATTGCAGTCATTGTCAAATACCAGTGGTTGACTGGTTATGTAATAAGGAAGGTAATCAACAAAAGAAGAGATCGTCCACAACTGGTTCATTGCCTCTCTAGCGGTGGCGGACTTCTTCCTCGGGCTGGTCATCATGCCTTTTTCGCTGGCGAACGAGCTGATGGGGCATTGGATCTTCGGGGCTTGGTGGTGAGTGACTTGCTTTATACAGATTGTTTCCCCAACCACCATAATTTGAAGAAATAAACTATAAGACGCTGACCCGTTCATTTTTCGACTTCTAACCGCTTGCGTGCCGACCACTGGGTTCTGTCGGTAAATGCCTGCCAGTGCCTTTGAAATCGCTATATGATAACTTGTCAACAACATACCGACAAACTAGACCCAGAGTGGAAGCCATCTCGTAGAATTCAGTAATTCCTGGTTACACATATAGCATGTGGATGGCAACATATCCAGTGTTGTTAGGTCAAGAATGAGGAGGGCAATAGACTAGACATGAAAGAGAGGAATATTCAATAAAAGAACAGTAGATTAACTTCGAAAATTGCAGTCATTGCCAACTACGAGTGGTTTACTGGTTAAGTAATAAGGTAGGTAATCAACAGAAGTAGAGAACATCCAGAACTGGTTCATCGCTTCTCTGGCAGTGGCGGACTTCTTCCTCGGGCTGGTCATCATGCCTTTTTCGCTGGCGAACGAGCTGATGGGGTATTGGATCTTCGGGGCTTGGTGGTGAGTGACTTGCTTCATACAAATTGTTTCTTATTCAACCACCATGAACTACCGACTCGACTTCTAACCGCTTGCTCGTCAACCACTGGGTTCTGTCGGTTAATGCCTGCCGGCGCTTTTGAAATCGCTATGTAATAACCTGTCAACTGACCGTAGAAAATTTGGCGATCTGACTCTATTTTATAGATATTTTCATCGACGATGCTCTTTTGAGATATCAATAGTTGTTCCTCCTTCGACAGACCCCGCGAGACTAACCCGTCGAGTTGAGGCTTCGCACCTCTTCGTTGTCACTTTGGAGACCTGCAGAACATCTCTTTTCAAATACTCGTTCATCCAATGAACAGCCAGGCTCTGAAATACATTACCAAGGGAGGTGTTCTCCAAGGCATATAACCTCTAGAAATTCAGAAAAAACACGAATTCCTACCTTATTCCCCTTGTTTATCACGATGTTCTCTGAACATTGCAGGATATCCCTTTTCCTGGGAACCAGAACATGAAGAAAACGTTTGGCAGTGCATTGATTCATGGAAGAGTGAGTAACGCAATGTTGGGTCATACCGAAAAATAAGTCCCAGAGTGAAAGTCATCTTCTAGAATTCAGTTATCCTTGGTTACACATAGGGCATGTGGATGGCAACATATCCAGTGTTGCTAGGTCAAGAATGAGATAAGCGATAGTCTGGACATAAAAAAGAGGTAGATTTAATAATGGAACTGTTGATTAAATTTGGAAATTGCAAGTTATTTCCAACTACTAGTGGTTAACTGATTAAGTGATAAGGTGAGTAATCAACAGAAGTAGAGAACATCGAGAACTGGTTCATCGCTTCTCCGGAGGTGACGGACTTCTTCCTTAGGCTTGTTATCATGCCATATTTGTTGGCGAATGAGCTGGGTACTGCATCTTCGAGGCTTGGTGGCAAGTGTCCTATTTTAAACACATCTGGCAAACAAAATCTTCCTATGTCTTAGTTGCATGTTTGCCACACGAGCTACACGCGAGTAGGTATAATGGTAGTGACGCCTACATACCTTTACCTCTATTAGATACCCATGAATGTTCATGCGAATTCACTTCCAAAGATGGTCATATAGACAAACGAGTTTCAGAGTGGATGCCATCTCTTAGAATTCACTGATTCCTGGTTGCACATAGGGCATGTGGATGGCAACATAGCCAGTGTTGCTAGGTCGAGAATGAGATAAGCGACAGGCGAGACATTAAAGAGAGGTAGATTCGATGATGAAACTGTAGATGAACTTTGAAAATTGCAGTCATTGTCAAATACCAGTGGTTGACTGGTTATGTCATGAGGAAGGTAATCAACAAAAGTAGAGATCGTCCACAACTGGTTCATTGCCTCTCTAGCGGTGGCGGGCTTCTTCCTCGGGCTGGTCATCATGCCTTTTTTTGCTGGCGAACGAGCTGATGGGGTATTGGATTTTCGGGGCTTGGTGGTGAGTGACTTGCTTTATACAAATTTTTTCCTAAACCACCATGAACTACAGAAATTAACTATGAGACAGCTGACTCGTTCATTATTCGACTGCTTGTGTGCCGACCACTGGGTTCTGTCGGTTAATGCCTGTCAGTGCCTTTGATATCGCTATCTATGGAAATATAAGAAACGCAATGTTGGTTCATACCGACAAACTAGTCCAAGAGTGAAAGCCATATCGTAGAATTCAGTAGTTCCTGATTACACATCATAAAGCATGTGGATGGCAACATATCCAGTGTTGTTAGGTCAAGAATGAGGAGAGCGATAGACTAGACATGAAAGAGAGGAAGATTCAATGAAAGAACAGTAGATTAACTTCGAAAATTGCAGTCATTGCCAACTACGAGTGGTTAACTGGTTGAGTAATGAGGTAGGTAATCAACAGAAGTAGAGAACATCCAGAACTGGTTCATCGCTTCTCTGGCAGTGGCGGACTTCTTCCTCGGGCTGGTCATCATGCCTTTTTCGCTGGCGAACGAGCTGATGGGGTATTGGATCTTCGAGGCTTGGTGGTGAGTGTCTTGCTTCATATAAATTGTTTCCTCAACCACCATAAACTTCAGAAGTAAACTATGAGACGCTGACTCGTTCATTTCTCGACTTCTAACAGCTTGCTCGCCAACCACTGGGTTCTGTCGGTTAATGCCTGCCAGTGCCTTTGAAATCGCTAGAGTGGAAGCCATCTCGTAGAATTCAGTAATTCCTGGTAACACATAAAGCATGTGAATGGCAACATATCCAGTGTTGTTAGGTCAAGAATGAGAAGAGCGATAGACTAGACATGGAAGAGAGGTAGATTCAATAAAAGAAAAGTAGATTAACTTCGAAAATTGCAGTCATTGCCAACTACGAGTGGTTAACTGGTTAAGTAATAAGGTAGGTAATCAACAGAAGTAGAGAACATCCAGAACTGGTTCATCGCTTCATTGGCGGTGGCGGACTGGTCATCATGCCTTTTTCGCTGGCGAACGAGCTGATGGGGTATTGGATCTTCGGGGCTTGGTGGCGAGTGACTTGCTTCATACAAATTGTTTCCTCAACCACTATAAACTAGAGAAGTAAACGTCATAGAAGGTGTCCCGAAATTGCTGGGACACTGAGCTATCACGTGTATAATAATTTACAAAATAGGTTGATTGGACCCAATTTATTTATATAACAAAATGTACCGTTTGTCCGTGAGATGAGTCCAAAGTTCACATAGACAAACACATTGTTGTACGCAGCTCAAAAATGAGTGGAACAAGTTGAATAAAATATGAAAAATGTGCATCAGAAGATAACCTTTCTTTAGGTAATCAAAGTAACCCAAGAGAAATTGTGGAAGGGTGAAAACCACCCTCACCCCCTTATCAACACAGATATATCAACCAATCAAAATCGTGTATTTTGTATCAAATAATCGATGACACAAAATATGACATTCGATTCCCAAGTATGTTTCAACATCATTAAAAAAGAGAACATCTGAAAGACTTTATCAAATCTGTATATTATGTTATTTTTCCTCGGATCAGGGATACTTTCTGTGGAGCAAACTGTGTTTGCGTACAAAGGATGTAGTCGAACCTTCAGTAGTTTAATGATCCCTATAACTTACTGTTGTGTAATTCGAGCTTTTCTGTGGATTTTCGTAGGGAAACCCAACAGAGTGAATGTATCGAGCATTCACAGCAAGAGCGATACCATACCCGACCGATTTATCGAATTTTATGTATAGTCATTCGCATTAGACCCGTGAAGTGTGAAGGTTATAAATTTCCATCGACGTTCTCTTTTTCCGATGCTCTTTTGTTATTTTTGGACCAGTCGCAACGAATTATGAATGTGGAAACAAGCGTCACTAGCGTCAGAGACTCTGTGTCTGTTGCCATCAAGCGATGTCGACTTCAGTTAGATTGATTTTAATTTCAGTATTAATTACAGTTAAAATTTTCCCTGCATCGTCATGAGGCTCTTTACTAAATTGATTCACAAACGATGTAGGTTAAACGTCATCACTGATTCAACAATATTGTTCAACCGATGAGATCCTAGCAGCACATTTCCTTGTTGTACTGAGGGTGTTTTGACTTCACTTCATCCTAAGATTGGTGTAAAAAAATACTTTAGCTTCTTTTAAGATACATCTAGGAAGTTGTGATGCGTCTAACGAAGCAAGCATAGTTATTCTCTCAGAGCAGCTTCATTGCCCCCATGAGATACAGGTAAACTCCACATGCCGTGGCTAGTGAAAAATCCAGAAGATGTTTCTGCTAGATATTCGGAATGCCAAGTTGAAAGTTGCTTGTCTGATAGTACCCAATATACTGATACTAAAGTATTGGCAATGGTTTTTCAATAAACTCCCGCACCTGTCTCATTTCTGGCGAGTTGTTAAACCATTATTGAGATTTGGTTTGCATCTATTATTTGATGCTTGTCGTTTGTATTTATTCAGTTAATATGACAGTTATGACAGTTTATTCAGTTGATAATATGACAGTTAATATGACAGAGCACAAGAGCACAATAGGAAATGTTTGTAAAAATATAGCATTAACGTAAAATCAGTTACAAACATAACAAAGTAGCTGGGGATACAAATTTATAGAGAAGGAGATGCCACCTAAGCAAGCTTGTGTTGTGGCATCATCGTTCTCATTTTATGGATACAATTCATTGGATGGAGAATGTAGACTAGTTCAACGTTGTTGTTTTCCAGTATAGCATTTAAGCAATCAAAACTATTCTTCAGAAAACATTTCAATTTTGGTTTAATTTTTTTGATACTGGTAACATTCTTCAATTCAGAGGGTAATTGATTATACAGTTTGGGTCCAATATATGTTACGAATCTATGATTATGACGAAGTCTGGCAAAGGGGACATCAATATTCTGGTTTGTGTTGAGGCGGGTGTTATAAGGGTGTGTTATAAAATTCAAGGGTGTGTTCATAATCCACAGGAGACAATGATAAATATAGCTTCCGCAATACCACAAAATCATTGTGGACCATTCAGAACTCGACTAGCTTCTGCTCAAGCTAGTGAATCTGCCTCTCCATTGCCCTCGTACCGTGTATGTGCTGGTACATACCTATGCTAGAGTTAGTCAGTTCTGACTGCCCAGCTCATTCAGGGTTGCTATACATTCCCAGACTAGAGATGACTTGGTGTATCATGTTTCCTGGACACCATATTGGCTACTGCCTCCCTATTCAAAATATGTGCAGAAAATTCGAGATTGATTATTGTGGAGATTAGATAAGAAGGGGACCTTCGGGCTATCGGCCTCCACACCGCGACCTGTTCAGATTCATTGTGTCTGCCCTCAAAGCCTTTCAGTTCTTTGGCTAGCCCCGCCTATTCTATGTGACTCCATAGACTTACTTTCAGATCCCTTCTGTATCTTCGGGCTCTCGGTCTTTCCTCTCCCAGCGTAGGAGATCTCATTCTTGACAAGTCCTCACAGTGGCAAAGTATGTGTACTGCTGTTTCATGCTCTTCCTGTCAGAACCTGCACAGCAGTTCTTCAACTAGACCTATCGTACCCATGTGTTTGTTGAGCTCACAATGCCCTGAAGGAAGCCCCACTAGTATGCTAGTTGAACTCAGCTTGTAGCTTAGTAGATATTGGCGAGCTGTTCCAACATTCCTGAGAATTAGTTCCCATCTATGATTGGATGCTTGTCTTTTGTATAGCTTTCGCATTACCGCAAAAAGGTGCTGGATCACTCAGAACTTCACTTGCTCCTGCTCGGACTAGCGAATCCTCCTCTTCGTTGTCCTGGTAGGGTACAGAGATGTACTGGTACCCATGCTAGAGTCAGTTTGTCCTGACTGCCCAGTTCATTCAGTGTTTCTATGCACTTCCATACTACAGATGATATAGTGTGTCTTGTCTCTTGAAAACCATATTGGTTCTCTTTTTTCCAGGTGCGACATTCATTCGGCCATGGACGTGCTTCTCTCCACAGCCTCTATCATGAACCTGTGCCTCATCTCGCTGGACCGCTACTGGAGTATCACGCAGGCCGTGGAATATCTCAAGAAGCGGACTCCAATGAGAGCCATCGTCATGATAACGGCCGTGTGGCTATTATCAGCGCTGATCTGCATTCCTCCACTGCTTGGCTGGAAAGTGGAAAGGACGGCAGAGGAGCAGTACCCAAAATGCCAGGTAAGTGATAACGAGGGTTTTTTTTGTGTTTCTTCATTGACCTATTGTTCACGGAAGATGCAACATCTCCTTCATTGAACTGAGTGGATTCATTTTGCTCCAAGGATGTTATGAGGATGATGAAGAATCATTGACAGTTGACAAACGGCTCTGGAGGTTGTGAATAATTTTTTCGTATATTTCACGTATGTATGCGTTTTTGGATCTTTCACGAACTTCCGAAAAAGCTCATGTTCTGGAGCTATCACATCACATTAACATATCGACAACCACAGAAACTTGTGAAGTCTGAATGACGACTTTTTGATCATTGATCTGACAGGAGCACCTTGTGATGAAAATAGAAATATTATTTTATGTTACAAGTCTGCAGATACGTACATTTTTCACGAGAAGGCGTCGTGCGGCAATTCTTATAGCTATGAGTAACAAAACACTTTTCGCACTTTCAACACCAGAGCTGATAGACCAATCAGAATTCGCAAGCTTCAATTCCACTGCCTAGCAACAACTTTTTCGTAAAAGGATGGAGCAATATTTTGATATTGCAAAATCTCGAACTACAGGCTAACAAAAAACATTGGAGAAGTGCATTTTCTCACAGTTCCATGAACGAAAGGTTTACTGATGCCTCATCACCAATTCACTTACATTCCATGTATGAAACTTCGAAATATCCAGAGTTGCGCTCAATTTTGATAGAATGATGCGTATAAAAGCCCAGTTAAACTTCATCTTGTCGACTGTTGGGTATGTCAGAGGGGATTTTTTCTTTCCGTCCCAAAGAGAATTGAGTTGTATCCGGACCAGAGAGCGAGATTCAGTAATCCTGCTGTTCGGGATGAAACAGAACAAATAAAACAAAACATTTCATCGAAATACCTATCATTCTTTTACTGCCAACAGTTTATATCAGTCATAAACTGGTCCCTCGTTCCATATTCCGACGATGTTTATTTTATTGTCTGCAAGGATCTGTAAAGATACACAAAAACATAGCATTGCAAGGAAAACATTTATTATACAATATTGAAGAAGTAACCTGGAATATATCAATTCTGACAATTTTTTGTGGGAAATACTCTGAAGATGAATGATTTTGATTGCATTTCAACATTATGGAATGCCTATGTCTGTTACTCATCTTCAAGACTGCTATGAATATATGGAAGTAAGGAACCTGTATATTTTCATAGTATGAAAATTGTTAATAGTACATCTAACTCCAAACCAATCGATACTAACTTATTTACTCATTGGGTCTACTTTGAATTGATCCCAGTAAAAGCATAAGTCTTATTTATTCTCAAGAACGAAGTATTTCAAATTGGCAACATTGTGATGGGACAAGTTATTTGTCCTCATCAAGAACTTCAATCTCTCAGACAGGTATTGAAATCGTATTTCTAACATCGAATATTTGATCTGCTTGAATTTTCTTGGAATAAATATTGGTCACCATATGACAGTTCAAACTTCCCCTCATGGAATTATTATCAAGAAGGGTTCATATGGTACTAGTAGGTTATTTCTGTTGGTAACTGTTGTTTCCATTTGATAAGCCCATCCATTTGCGAATAATCATTTCCGTTATTTGTCTTTAAAAGAGAAAACGATTTACCAGACCTATGTACACACGATCATTTTTCATTTCAACAAAAACAAACTCTACGTATATTGTTTTGGACCAGCAAGTTTTCAGTGCGAAGCCAAATATAATTGCATGTTCTACTTGAGGTCCTTTTTGCAAAACAAATTTCCAGAGTACTGCGTAATATAATTCCATGATACAAAAAGTAAATACGTTTTATATTTCAGAGCTTTCAATTCCATTAAATTTCCAGCCTCTCACACACATAAATAAATCAGCTTGTAGTGTATGTGAATTGTGGAAGCGAGTTGAATATATTCTTAGCCAGTTGAATATCCAGTAGCGAAATTAATTAAATATCTCATTTTTTTAAACAATCATACTTTGGCATGAAACTTTTCACCAAATCAATGATGTACGCATGTATCATATCTAGGTAGACTCAAAAATATCACTGAAGTTAAACTTCTGCAGAGGCATTGAACGTCAAAGATACTCCACAGTCTATATGGGTGATGTAAACTGATTTAGAAATTCAAAGGAAGAAAGGAATGCTCGAAGTACACTCCACAAATTTTAATGGCATTGTTACACAATCATAAGGGACATGTTTCGGTATTATAAAAGACCATCTTCAACCTAATTGAAAATTCTGCAATACAAAACGATTGATGTGAAAGAATGACCTAATTTGTTTCTGACCTACTTGGAGTTGAAAAAATGTCATGCTACTAGAATTGTTGCCAATGTCCAAAGTCGAAAAATCCAGTAAATAAATGGAAAAACGGGTTCCCAATAAATGAAGGGCCTTTGCCCTGTGAGCGTTACCATTCATCTCATCTCGAATCCAAATCTAAATTAGGGTTAGAAAATACTGAAAATAATGTTTCGACATTATTTTCAGTATTTTCTGACGTAGACAAGACAAGACGTTGACATAAGTCAAAGTCAAGGGACAAAACATGAAATTCCGACAATGAGCATAGGCATGTAACAATAGCTGATACAAATACTTGAAGAATGTGGAGGTAGGAGAAGGAATGCATGTACGAGTGAGTTGAGCAAACCTGGAAACCATTGACTATGAATATTCCACGGAATAAGAATAAGGTACCAAGGTAGGTAAACTAACAGCGATTAAAATCCAAAGCAATGAAAAATTTAATAAAGTCAAAATGTGTTTGTTCATTAAGAAAAGAGAGTGTTGATTTCGAAAATTTCCAGAAAATTCAGTAACCTACCTTCTGGACAGAAATGTAGAATTTTAAGGTCCTGATTTGGATCAAAACTATGGCGTGAATTTAGGATGTGGTTTGCGGAAGAACTTTTGGCATCATATTCATCAACATCAACATCAACAAAGAGGGTGTTTTCTTGTATATTTCAATGATCTTTATATGTTCAACTCCAGTTGAAATTTTTCTACCACTTTGTCCAACATATTGAGCATCGCAATTTGGATCCGAGCTAGGAATACAATAATCTCGTGCTCTGTGATTCAATGAAACTTTATCTTTATAGTATTAACGAACATTTTCGGAGTATTATGAACTGTGTAAATGACCTATGAATTTGGTTTGATACTTCGGGAATTTAGCAAGATTTCCCCACGCCTCGCTATTTTTACAAAGTAGGCGATATGGAGAGATTATGAAACTCCTTTCAGTAAGAAGTGATAACACCATTTGACTTTCTATACATCTATGTGTGATTGATACATCTAATTAGAGTCAGAATTGGATCAAGGTCCATTTGAGAACATTGAGGTTGACCAATATGTGCATTTCATTATCCAGATCTCATTTGTTTGTTGACACAGGTTGTGGCACAGTATTCTTACCTACATGCAAGATAACAACACCGGAACATATATCAGCACACCTATAGGGATTTCCACAATATACGTCAACGATTTTCAGTCTCATAGAAATAAATCACATTATGCGGTTTAACGTAATTTGAGGACAAACCAAACAATTTTTTGTTTACCGATGTTTACGTATACCGACATAAATCGACTCTATCTCTATTTTTCACTCTGTCGGTTTGTATGCAATATAGGGTGACATTTGGTAAATGGCCACCGTAAATGAAATACGGAATGCAAACATCACATGACAGTAGGAGTTTTTCACGTGACAAGTGCAACGTGAATGTATCGGAAAATTTAGGGATCAATCAGTGTAGCGGCATAAAGCATTATAAATAGAAACAGCACATGTTATAATAATTTTGATTCTTCTGGGGCTCGAATACCTATGTGACGGAAGGAATTCAAGGGATTCCAAAAGTGATATCAGATTCATTGAACCATTTCCAGATTTTCACGATTTCATTTGGATGAAATAATAAACTGTTTTTTTTTATCGCTTGGAGCGTACCAAAGGGACTCCCTATAATGTTAAAAGAACATCGTGCGTTCCTAGGGAGGATAGGGATAGGAGGTAGGTATTGGAATTTTTTTTGAACTTCTTTAGATTATTATGTTGTTGGGAATACTTCCTCAATCAATGAATTCCAGAGCCTAGCCGTTTTATGGATGAGGGAGTTTTGATAAAGTGCTGTTCGACATCTTTCGAGGTTGACAACGAAAGGATGTGCTGACTGGGCTTGTCTAGTTCGTCTGACTGGTATTGCTAGTGGAGGGATGATGGCAGAGATTTTCGAAGCACATTTCCCGTGGAAGTATCGATAGAAAAGTGAAAGGTCGCCGACCTTTCTGAGGTGTTCCAATGATGTCAAAGAGTGAGTGAGTGTGGCGTCACCCACCAGGCGGATGGCTCTTCTCTGGATGGAATCTACGAGCATCAGCGTATGTTCTGGTGCTGAACCCCAAATGTGGGAACAGTATTCTGGAACAGGCCGTATCTGCGCTTTGTAGATCATGAGAAGCTGTTGAGGTGTAAAGTAGCTTTTCGCACGGAACAAGAATCCGAGTTTTTGTGAAGCAGCTTTTGCGATGGATCTGACATGATTATCCCATGAAAGAGTGTTGCTGATGGAAATACCGAGCATAGATATGGTGAGCTTGGTGGAGATGGTGATACCTTGAACTTGAACATCATTCAATTTCACTCCAACACGGAGAAAAAAAATCACTAACCCTAAGTGAATATTTAATAGTGGCAAGTAAAAACTTGTATACTATATGGGACAAGGAAACAAGTTAATAACCACAAGAATATTTGTGTTCCTGAAAATGTTCACCTACCACTATTGACCTGTTTCATTAAATTTCAGAGTGATAAAGGTAAGTGAACACATCACTTGTCATCAGTGACCTATTCAATTGTCATTAGTGACTCATTCACTCTTCATTAGTGACTTGTTCACTAGTCATTAGTGGCCTAATCACATGTCATTAGTGACTTGTCTACTAGTCATCAGTGACTTATTTACTTGTCAATAG